TCTGCTTGCGAAGGAGGTGTGACAGGTGACGCAGGAATAGCACACTAGCTCCAATGAGGCGCCTAGGTAGGAAGGCTGATTGCTCGGGGGTTATGACTTGGCCAAGGGCAGGGCCTAGGCGGTTTGCCAGCACTTTGGTGAGCAGTCGGTAGTCCGAACAAAGCAGGGTGATAGGACGGTAGTTGCCAGGGAGTTTGGGGTCGCCTTTTTTGTAGATCACCGTCAGTACCCCCTCCAAGAAGCCCTTCGGCACCTGCCCCGTCAAGCCTATGGCGGTGAGCAGGCCAGCCATGGTGGTGCCAATGGCCGACCAGAATTTCCTGTAGATGTCGGCTGGGATGCCGTCCCACCCCGGGGCCTTGCCAGGCTGGCTTTTCTTAAGAGCCTTTCGTAACTCGGTGGCCGTGATGGTTCTGGATCCCAGCTGTTCATCTGCCTCTGCGGGTAGCGAGATGTTGGCGGCCGCCAGGGAGTTTAGCACCTCCTGCTGGGCTTGGGGGCAGATGTAGTTGGGAGCTCGGCTCACTTCACTCCAGAAGTCTGCGACCACCTGGGGAAGCTGGCTAGGATTAGTCACTAGGCGGCCGGACTGGGCTTGCAGGGCGACGTATGTATGTATGTATGTATGTATGTATGTATGTATGCATGTATGTGAAGTACATTGAAAGGTGGCTATCGCTTCACCGCATACACTTCTGGCTCTCGATGCTCCTCTGACAGCGGTGGCAAAGGCTTCATGCGCTCGGACATACAGATGGGTGTTTACAGTCACAGGCTAGCCCTGGGACTGCATTTCCGTGTCACCGAAAGACCCAAAAAGGTTGCCACACACGCTCGTCTGCCTGTCGGCCAATCCCAGCTCTCAGGCTCAGTAAGACTGTCTGTCAATCCCAGGTTTCTTCTGGGCGGAGTCTACCTGTCAGCCAATTCCATGTCTCCGGGCGGCTCTCGACACGTATAGTCTCACCGAAACGTTTCGGAGTACGGAGCACCCGCGAACCGAGAACACCTATGCCGAGGATTGCCAGTCAGGAAGGCTACGTCATCATGCAGTAGCAGTGGGGCGGGAGTTTTCCCCGGCAGCTAACGAAGGCGAGCCCGCTCCCTCACGGACAAAGAGAGGCAGTGGCTACAGGGCAAGCACTATAGCGCCTGAGCGAGAACGCAAGCTAGCTATCGTGCGGGAGATTCTGCGAGTCGTGATGCCCGATGGTGACCCGGAGATGATGCTGGAGGGTAACCGGCCGCATGCCGTGCAGTTCCCTAAGCTAGCTCGCGTAGGGCGGTAACAGGGTTTTCAACCACCTAAAGTCTCTGAAGAGCACGTAAGAGCACGTAAGTGTTAGTGGGGACGTGCCTTCCCATCCATTACATCCAAGCAACAACATCACCATTTTTATATGCATGCATCCGGACAGCAGGAAAATCGGCTTTTTTGACAGCAGGAAAATCCCTCAGCTAACCCTGGAAAGACGAAAAAATACTGTAAAAGTGCGTCAGCGACAATACATCAATATGGTCTTAAATTTCTGTCATCAAAATATTCACGTTCCTCCTGGATGACCATGGAACATGTTTCTGTCGCATTATAAAGTGTTGTCCAGCTCACCGTGTGTCAAAATTCCAAAATTTTGGTTTTAAAAACGAAATTCAAATTTGCATGGCCGTTCCTGTGGCTTGCAAGGTCGCCATCTTGCCTAACCGAGGTGAAGCATGAAGGCCCAGAGCAAAGATTCAACCAGAGCAAAGGATACATTAGTACACGGCTCGTTCGCTGCACTAGCCCTAGCGGGAAGCGGCGGAAACATCCACAGACAGACAGCAGCAGCAGCACGAACTCCGCCCAACCCAAAGCACAACTTAATAAAGGTTTGAGCCCTAACATCACTCTCAGGTCGACATGGTCTCTTCATACCCTTCTCAACAGCTGCCAAAGGTGTACGACACCAGTACCAGGTACTGTACATACCATTAATCCTTATCATACCATAAATGAAACTCGCAACGACGCAGGCCAGCGATTACCCCCTTGCAGCCCAAGACCTGAGAGTCCAAGGACGGGGCACTCAGGCGGCAGAGACTTAAAAAAGCAAGCCACCACCCAAACTTTACATGTGAACTGCCGCCATCGATTTAGGCCCAGCCCGGCACGGATATACATATTCACATACTGATAGATAACCGGAAGACACGATTCCCCGAAGGACTTTAAAAAGCCATTCTGGCAAATAATGCTTCGGCACACTAAACATACAAAGGCAAAGCAATGAAGACATCGTTGCTTCCTCAAGGGAGGAAACGAGCTGAAAGCGCGAATCCCCAAAATGTGGGGAAGCAGTTTTGCTGCACATCCTTCACGTTTTGCTACTCATCAAACGAACATTCTCAAAAAGCCAGGTTCTCAATGCTACTTCATATGCAGCAGCCAGCCTCTCTCTCGCTATGTAGGTTTCCCTGATCTTCTCTCTACAAATACGGCTTAGAGCAGAAACAACCACTTTGGGAGGTTGTTTTCGTTGTTCAGTTGCTCCCTGCCGCCTTTTCAAGCGACATTCTATGGGTTTGCAACCAACTGTCAAAACTGTCTCCCAGTTATGCATACTCAGCGTTCACAAGCACTGCACTACCGTCTCTCGGGCCACGCGACCTCTGCAGTAGTCACCACCCTCAATCAATAACAAAGAGACCATCACCAAGCGTCAACCTGTGAATTCACACAGAATTCACACAGAACAGCAAACGACAAAACCCATTTCTGTGAGAGTATATAGGCTACTGACGTCTGTGGGACACATGGCGACCGGAAACCGGAAACCGCTATAATTAGATGGTCAGGAAGCCATCATAAGACCATAATGTACAAGCAGCCTATATCTTTAGGATGGCACGCCAAAATGGCCCAGCTCATCATCCCAGAGACCTGGCTGCGAAGAAGCCAGGCGCTGCCATTGGTCCTCGTGCCATTGGCAGAGGCGACTGTGATCTTGCTCGACGTCTTTGCTTGTGATCTCGTTCACTGGCGGCAGCTCTGGTCGAGTTGAAGAGGACTCAGCAACAACCTCGGCGGCGCGTACCTGCAACGGCAATTTCGCACAGGTTAACTCGCAACGCCCACATCCGCAATACCGAGAACGTGCCTCACATTTGTGCAAGCATTGTGGGCAGTTCCTTGGCGCATAAATCAGGCGATTTGAATGCCCAAGTCAACGTTGGGGACAATTGCTTATCCAGTCGCTAAACCCTTGGAGACCATCCATGTGCTAACCTGTGCAATGCGCTGCCTCAAAATAGCACTGTGTTTTGCATTCCAAATAATGGTGTCTGCGGTCAGGTGATAATCATCGCTCGGGGCGTCGTCCGCGGCAGCGCTGGCGACAGCGAGTCGCTTTCTTGTTGGGACGACTAGCAGGCGCGCCTGTGTTGATTGAAGTCCAAAGCGCTTTTGCATCATTCCCATGTTGCGGCTCGTCGGCTGAATAAATGAAGCAGACATATTACCAAGGCTGCCTGGCTAATGGGTTGTTGATAATGAAGATGTCGACTCCTTGACAGCAAATATAATACTCCAAGTGGCAATAGGTGATACTACACATATGTAGCTTGCAGTGGTAAAGGATGCCGTCTCTTTTCTATACGTGGAAAGGCTGTACGGCAGCAGTTCGTTAAACTGCAGTGGTACCTATCACCTCATCCAGGCAGTGCTAACAAAAATCATCAACCGATTGCACTACTGCGGAGAAGAGATTGTGGGGAGGAATTTCACTGTTTGAAGCCAAATCACAACCGAAAAAACCACAAGCGGCTGATGGTCTGATTAAAACTCAATCATCAGTACAGAAAATTAAATACTGCAAGCTGGCGGAAAACCTGGATGCCGTGCATGGTTTTCAATAACCCTCGTGCCTGTGCACGCTGCCGGAGACCTGCCCTTTCCTTTAGGTTCTCTGCACCGTCCTATTCAAGGCTCGGCAGTATGCTCGCAATTGCTCCAGCCTGAGGGGGCTGCTCGCGATCCAGCGTGCCCAGTCGTCGCGAGCCGTAATTGCGGAAATGCCTGTCCAAGCCATGTTATACAAGCTTTGCGATGCGGTGCTGGAGTTTATCGCCGTTGGGATTTACGTTAGGTGCGATCTCTGGCACATCGGCAGTCGTGTCTATTTCCAGGCCCATCTTGAATATAGCTTTCAACCATTTCAACGCAACGCACACCCCAACCTACTTCCCCAATCAACCCATGCTTGCATCTGTCGCATGATCCCAGAAGTACAACCAATCAGACCTCTTTCTGAGCATTCGGACAAACGCGTCATACGCCCTATGCGCAACAATATTGCATCCTAACTGTACGTATCCACCCCATCGTCGCCACCCCGTATATACATCAACACTTGACTTTCCATGACTGTCATACAAAATGAAAGATTGGCCTTCAGCCGACAACAAAGGAGGAAGTCCCTCAAGAGGACAGCTGGGCAAGCATCAGTATTTTCCCCCTCGTCATCATTATCGTCAGCACGCGAGATACCGGGGGCGAGATAGGGGGGAGGGAGGGGAGCGGAGAGTCACATGGGTTCCGCGGCCCCTGAACGCCGCAACACTATAAGACTCTGCGCGTATATAAACATATAAATTGCACATCACACCTGCACAGCCAGATTGCAGGTCTAGCCACAACAGGATGGTACGCCGCCCCTCGCTTTCAACCTAGCACATTCCTCGTACGTGAACGGAAACCCCTTCCGTCACACCTCTTGCCGAACCCCACCCCCGTCACCGCAACCAACTCTCCCCGTCGCCGCCACTACGTTTGCCGGTTAGCCGATCAGAGCCCGCACCGCTCCAACTACTCTTCTATCGACCACGCCCTCCCGCACCGGGCAGCCATACCCCCGCGGGCAGCCCCCCGAACACATGAATCAACACTTTTTTTCCCCACGCGCCCTACTCTACCCACGCCCCCTCCCACCCTCCCTCCCTCCCCCCTTCCCCTCCCATCGCAGCGCCATCTACGCCACCGCCCTCCTCCTGCCCGCCATCCTAACCGCCTTCGCCGTCCTCGGGCCGTCCAACACTGTCCCATGGGTCGCTACGGCCCTCCTGGCCTTCTGCACTTTCACCCCCCTCCACCTCGTGACGGGGACCCTATCAGAGCGCTTCGTACAGTTCTCCGTACGGCGCGCCTCGGCCTACTTTCCCGCGCGCATCATCTGCGAGGACGCGGAGGCTTTCCGTTCAGACACGGGTTACCTTTTTGGATTCTGCCCCCACTCCGCTCTCCCGGTCGCTCTCCCCACCGTCTTCTCCACCAACTCCCCCTTGCTGCCCAAGGCGTTGCGGGGCCGCACGCATGGCCTCGCATCGTCGGTCTGTTTCCAGGTGCCGATTGTACGGCAGCTGTACTGGTGGCTGGGTGTACGGCCCGCGACACGTGCCGTGATGCGGAAGCTCCTGAGCGAGCGGCGGGTAGCGGTTGTCGTACCCGGCGGAGTGCAGGAGGTCCTTCGGATGCAACATGGAAAGGAGGTGTGAATGTGGGGGGGTTTGGTGGTTGGTGGTTGAGCAACTGCGGTGACGCTACCTGGGGGGGGGGGCGATCTCGTCCACAAAAGAAAAGATGTTGAGGGACGGAAACGCCGCCCAGGGTCATTAAGGGGGTGTAGGGCCATTAAGGTGATCGCGGAAGGTGACAGTCAGATGCATGGAGTCGTCGGACCGGAGGGTGGCCGTGGGATCCGTCGCTTCCCAAGGGGGAGGGGAGGGGGAGGGTATGTGGATGGGGTGGGAAAGGAAGAGAAGAAATCACCTCGGACGGATTCGGGTGAACCCCATGTGACGAACCTGAAACCTGAAGTGGTCTGATTCTAGTGGGCAGTGCTGAGGTGGCGTTGGGGTGGCGGGAAGGAAAGGGGGGGGAATAGGGGGAAAGGGGAAATAAGGGGGTGGGGGTGGAGAAGGCGAAATTGAAAGGGAGAACCATGGCACTAACCCAGCATGCATAACCACCTCAACCGACTTTATTTTGTATTCTGCAATCACGGGCTCCGTCCTCGCGGCCCCATGCAGGTCGCTTACCTGTCCTCCCGTACGGGCTTCATACGGATTGCCGTACAGTGTGGCGCGCCAATCGTACCGGTCTGGGCATTCGGCCAGACCCGGGCGTATAGCTGGATTCGCCCGGGGCCGCCGCTGGTGTCGTCGTGGCTCGTCTCTCGCATCTCGCGCACGTTTGGAGCTGTACCCATCTTTATGTACGGTGCGTACGGCAGCTCAATGCCGCATCGTGAGCGTATCACGGTCGTGGTCGGGCGGCCGATTCCCGTACAGCAGATGGACGCGCCGCCTCCGGAAGTGGTTTCGGAGCTGCTGCGGAAGTTTATGAACGAGCTTCAGGTGCGCGTACGACAATTAGGACGGGCCGGCTATTGCGGGGAAGTCACATGCCCTAGTTTCATTCCCTGGAGGGGCATTGGTGACACGTTAGGGTGGAAGGAAAGCTCTTCACCTGTGTTTTTCCTGCCAGAAGCTAAACAAGTGTATGATTATATTGACCCATATGGAAAGAAAAAACAATTTGTTTTAAATAGATCCAGTTCTTCAAGTCGTACACCCGCCGCAACTCGTCCACTATTGTCTTCATCTCGCCCTTGCTTGCTCTCGCCAACAGGCTTTGTACGACAAGCATAAGGGCCAGTACGGCAGGGGCGAGGAACTGCAAATATTTTAACCCAGGTTTTGTGTTTTATATAATGACTCGTTGTCGACAATGGCGACGACAATGACCAGGGGCGGGAAAACCTACGGAGAGGACGTCTTTGGCTGTTTCATACCGCGGAAAAAACTGGTGATACAGCTACTGCTGCTGGTACTGCTGCTGGTACTGCTACTGCTGCTGGTATTGCTACTGCTGCTGGTACTGCTACTGCTGCTGGTATTGCTACTGCTGCTGGTACTGCTACTGCTGCTGGTATTGCTACTGCTGCTGGTACTGCTACTGCTGCTGGTGACGTTTGTTGTGGTCATTATGTGGACTACTTGCCGCTTTGGCTTGGTTGTCCTGACTGCTATCGCTTGTGCGAATATGAAATTCATGCAGCAAATTTGTCGTAAGGCCAAGCTGAAGAAGAGATTAGAGAGAAGGTCGACTAGAAGCGCCAAAGGATGTTGGAGGCGGTTGTTGTGTGGTGGCGATGCAAACGGTGGTGCTGCAAAGTTGAGCAGTTTGAGAAGGCATGTGCGCACTGTTTGCATGGATGACGTGGATGTCTATTATCGTACTTTTAACGTACGGAACTTCTTTTTACTGGATCTGATCTTCGACGCGAATGGATCGCAATACAACTATGTTGCAAAAGACCAGCGCCAAACCAGTGTTTGGGGGGGCGGAGATGGAGCTGAAGGGGCGGATCATCTGTGCGATCTTTGGTTTCAGAAGATGGAAAAAAATGAGATCATTCAAAGCCTGCTGCGCTTTCCTTCATGACGCCTTCTCATTCCAGCGCTAAGACGGCCCGGCCGCGCGCTTTTACGGAGGTTTTGAGCTATCAATCAGCAGCTCTCATATTCACCTCCGAATATCCAATAGCCGCCGAAACACCCAAGCTAAGATGAAGCTGGATGGTAAGCCGTAACACAAGATTGTAATCTGAAGTCCCGAACCGCCTCGGCGGCCAGGTAAAATGCGTGTGTTGCCAGCTCCCCGGATTGTGGCACTATCCGCTACCTAGAGTAGAATGTCCACGGCTTCGTGGCACTATCGATATTTACATCCCTGTATTTGCCGGCTTGGCGCGAGTTGGACTGCAGATACCCTCAGGGAGGCGTGGTGGTTAAGGGATTGCCAGGTCCCCTACACCTTTTTGCAAAGGATTCACTCCTCTTCATCCCTCTCGACTCGATAGTCCAGTAGCCAAAGGCGGAAGTGGGGACGTCTTGCAGGTCTTTTCCTCAATCCCCCACCCTCCCTCGCTTTTCCCCCATCAGAAATGTCTATTATCACCTTAACGTTTCTGTTTTTCACCGTCTTTTTACTATAATACTTAGTCAGCCGCCATGAGAATGCTTTCACCTATAGGATGCAGCACCCGGCTTGCTGCAAGGTTCGATAAGTAAAGGGAGCGCCCGGGAAACATGACACCGTACAGCCTGCCGTCGTACAGTTGCCGTGCAGCTCCACGCAACAGCTGCCTGCCAAATCCCAGCCTAAACAAGCTCCTGCCGATGCCACCGTCACCATTACCACCATGACCCTCCATCCCCAGCCACCTACTCCCATTTCCGGGAGGTGCTCCATACAGCCACTGCCGCAAGCACAGCCGCTGACATCACATCGGTGCCCTAAAACCGGCGAGGCCAGCTGCATGACAAGCAGTCATGACAAGCAGTTTTCCCGGGGAACCCCAAGTTCAACACGGGGGACCTCCTCGTGAGCCAACGGGCGGCGTTGGCGTCGCCACCGCAGCAGTAGCAGCAGCAGCAGTAGCATCAGAGGAAGGAGCCGAAGAGGGCCTTATGTTGTAGCGCTCCAAAATTGCGGCGACACCGCCCTTGACTTTGTCAACCTCTTCATCCAATCGCTCTACTACGCTTTGCTTATTGCCTAAAAGTGCCCGGGGGTGTACCGCGGCAGCACCACTGTACGACTCTGCACCCATCACAGCAGCGACGGCACCGTTGTGGTCGCCGCCAAGGCGTGCTGTTAAGGCATTATTGCTGATGCTGGTATTCCCTGATGCAGCCACTGTCCTGCTCGCCGCCGCTGCTTCCACGGCAACCGCTGCAACCTGACGGGATATGCTGCTACTGCTGCTACTGGAGCCGCCTGTCGTACCATTCACTGGTACTGAAGCCGCTGCACCAGCAGTAGCAGCGACTGGGATGCTGCTGCCAGCGCTACGGCGCCCCACAGACCCCGGCCTCGTGGTGGGTCTCTGTACGCACACAGCTGATCCAGCTGCTGCTGCTGCTGCTGTGGCCGCCGCCGCCGCTGCCGCAACTGAGCTACTGCCTGCTCCAACCTTTACTGCTCCGCCCGATTCCGCTACTGATAACACGGCTCCTGTGGAATCCAACACAGCAGGTGATGTGGATGGCCCCAACGGCGCTGTGGTAAATGCAGCATGGCGTGCAGGGCTCGGTGGCATCCGGCGGGAAGGCGACTTCTCCCGGTAGGAGGTCTGGGGCAGGAGCTGGGGCAGGAGCTGGGGCTGGTTTGCGGTCTGGGAGTGCTGCTGGGAAGGGTGCTGCTGGGAAGTGTGGTTGCGGGCTTGGAGCAGCGGCGATGATGTTGACGATGGAGGCGGCACCCCAGTGACGACGGCGGCGGCAGCTGCGGCTGACGAGGCAGCTACGGGCCTTAAATTGTTCCTATCCGGCGGGGAAGGAGGCGCCGCCGCCGTCAATGCCGCCGCTGACGAGGCAACGGCTTGAATGCGGTTAATGGCAGCGGTGGTGCCGTCCGCAGACGGTGGAGTGGAAATCCGCGTCTGCAGGAGAACTGGTGGCGGCGCGAAGACGGAGGCCGCGGCGCCGCCGCTGCTGCCGCCGCTCCCCGGCCGCCGCAATGGCGCCGCCAGCAGCTGCGCAGCACGTGACGGTGGGCCACTGCCGCCACTGCCGCCATCGGCGGCCGCCGCCGCCGCAACCGCCCCCGGTACTCGCGTCACCGATGACCCTGACGTCAGCCGCTGCGACTGCTGCCGTACAACCTGCTCATCCCCGCCATGATGCACGACAAGCGTCTGCGCGCCTCCGCTGACGCTGCTCCGCCGTGCTGGCGCCGACGGCGCACCGGCACCGCCCGATGTCGGCCGCCGAGATGCGTCCACCATACCCCTCAACCGGCCCGGCTTGCTCTGCTGCTGCTCCGCCGCCGCAAACATGGCTTTGACCCTCACCTCGTGCTCCAGCCTGGCCTCCTCGTTGGTCACTACTGCCGCTAGACGGCTGGAGTAGTCCTTTAGTTCCGCCAGACTTGGAGGCGGAACGGTGGCGCGAACCTGCAAACACATACATACATACATACATACATACATACATACATACATACATACATACATACATACATACATACATACATACATACATACATACATAGTGCGCTACCTGGGTGCGCGGAGGAGAGCGCCATGCGCCCACCACTGGGAGGAAAACACACGGCCATAATCGCATCCCCTCCTTTCTCACCCCCTCTTTCCTCCTCCCCTACTCCCTCCCACAATGAATTTACGGGGCGGCGAGTGAGGCGTGGCCTTGTGTTCAGCTCACCTGCAGATCTGCCTCCACGTCGAGAAGTCCCTGTGGGTGTGGGTGTGGGTGCGGGTGCATGACAGCGTGGGTGGGTGGGTGGGGTGGGTGTTAGGGGGGAGGTTAGGTGGTGCGGAGGGGGGCGTGGGCGGGTGGGTTGCAGTAAGGGTGTGGTTCGGCTGGGTTGTGAGGTGGAGGACGAAAACATGCCGCCGCGGGTTGTTGGGAATGCGTGGGGAGTCGGTGCTGGAAGTGGGGGAGCGGAAGTACGGAAGGCAATCTGCATCGTCGTCATCGATGCTTTTGATGAAGTAGTTTTTTGCCGTCGCAAATCCCTGTACGACAAATGCCGTACTCTCAACAGACCACCGTAAACCCAACAAATGCGCACCGTGAACACGCACATCCCCTTCTCCCTTCTCTTCCCTTTCCTAAAAAATCTTGTAAATTATTAGGAGTAATAATATTTTCCCTACTAAAAATTCAAACCTGGCCAAGATTTCCCCCTCTCTGAACCCCTTCTCAATGAAACCCACACCCCTCCCGACCCACATCCAATAGCGTCACACCTGTAAATATTCCACGTCTTCAAGCAGCGCTGTTCGCTCCTCCAACAGTGCCGTACGTAACGTCTCCCGTACAGTGTCGATACTAGCCACATTCAGCTTGTCCGCTAAGCCCGCCACGACGCTCGGCGCGTCGGTATACCTCGTCACGGCGGAGGAGGCGGATGCGGAGGAGGCGGCTGTGGAGGGTCGGGAGCCTTGGAGAGTGGGCGACGCGGTGCCGGGTCGCGACAGCGGTGACGGGAGGGAGATGGATGCGGAGACGTTGGAGGCAGAGAGCGCTGTGGGGGGCCGGGACGCGGTCCCGGGGCGGGAGGAGGTCGACACCGCGGAGGAGGGTGGGCGGGGCGGGAGGGACGAGGAAGGCGGCCGGACTCCCGAGACCCCGGCTTCCGTGATCTGAGGGAGAGAATTAGGTGGCGAGGGTATGCATCGGCGGTGAGTGAGGGTGTCGTGCGGTTAGACCAAATTTCAAACTTTTCAAACTACTTCAAGCGATTGTCACCTACCTGACCTGATGAACTGAGACCAATATAGAGTACACACACGGCCCCTGCCCTCTGGCCCCGCCACCTGAGCTGAACCGGGTAATTGGGTAACGCCCGAACAACACCTCCTCTCCCCCCAGCAGGCGTCCGGAGTTATGTCCCAGAACGTTCGATTTCGCCATCCTACTCACTCCTCCTTCCTCTCAACTTAAGCCTCCCCTTTCCTTCCACATACCAACCCCCTCACTCCACACCAGAGGATTTCGACTTCCAGTTTGGGACACAGCACAGAGCTCACCCCTCACCCTACTCCCTAACACCCTATTCCTCATCCTAACACCCAAGCCTAATCATATCATGGTCTCGATAATTTATGTAGATCCAGTACCAGCCCTCCTCCGCACTCCTCCCCCCGGCCCCCCACCTGCGCCACGGTCGTCATGTAGTCCAGAACCGCCCGATCCCTCTTCCCGTGACGGGGCAGCAGCGAGTCCGGGTCCCTGTCCTTCACCGCAGAGCTGCCGAACGGGCTGACGGCAGCGGAGGCGTGGAGCCGCTCAATCAACAGACGAATCTCAGTTTCCACCTGCAAAGACGGACGGACAGACAGACAGAAAAGACGCCGTCTCCGCGCGAGTAGCTGTGTTCGCTTGTGAAGCCTTCATCCCTCGACACGTCTTCCCCCCGTTCGTACTCAATGCTTCCCTGCCAATGCCCATTATGGAGCGAATCAATAACCAACATCCAACCACCAACCCAAATCATGAGCCAATCTGACACATCCCACGCCATAAAATTAAACGATCTCCATGCCTCTGCCCCTGGCACAACTCCCGCCCTTTTTTGAGGCGGTGCGGGATGGCCCACCCACCATGCTTCGTTGCGGGTTGCTGCACAGCTGGTGTCTTGCCAGCAGTGCCGATGTGTTAAGTGTCACGTCCCCGAGGATGTCCGCCAGGGCGCCCGCCTCCGCGAACAGCGTCTCGTTGTCGTCCAGAAGGGCGGTGCCCAGTGCGCGACGGATCTGGGATTGGGGGGGAAGAGGTTGGGTGGTTTGGCCTGGGTGAAGGAAAGGGAAAAGGGGCAACCTACGTGAAGTCGCGCGAACGTGAAATCGCATCAAACACGAAACAGTGGGATGGGTGAAAGTAAAAGGAAGTAGCGCAGCGCGTGTATCCGCGCAAGGACAGCACGCACAGCTATCGCACGCGGGCCCCAGGCGCTTTGGCCCGGTGCTGCCACCTTCCCGGGTTGCGGCATGCTGCGGGATTTCGCCACGGGGCTTGAGTCTTTAAGATGATGGTTCCAGGTGACTTGTGATGGGACGGTGTGTGGAGCTTGTTGGCAGGTCTGCTCTTACCTCATCGCGTTCCGCCGGGTAGAGGTGAAGAGAAATGACCTCCCACAATAGCTGCTTCACAACACGCAGCTGCTGCGCGTTGGACGTAATGGATGGGTGTCCATCCATGGGTGTGGTTACCCTGTCAAAGGCCTCGAGAGCCGAGCCCCTAGCCGGGGCGCAAGCGCTCCTTACAGCATGCTGTGTTTGAGGGGAAGGTGTCCCGTTGCGATAAGACCTTGTGTGTTAAAGAAAGGCTTTATGACTTCTATAACATAGGTAACTCTAAAGTATCTGCAGATGGCATGCTTCCGACGCAGCAAGTCCTTGGGGAGTGTTCGTTCGCGTGCAGTTAAAAAGTAGGCATGTAATTCGTAAAAGAATATGTCTCTCGAAAGGCTTCAGATGACCTGGAAAACCAAAGACATTTCTCCCGTACTGCCGAACATATGCCGTTTTGGCCCAGCAGGCCGCTGCTATCGCGACTGTGGCAAAGATATAACTTTTATTCACCCCCAACCATGTTAAGGAGCTTGCACGCCGCCATCTACAATTGCTTCCTTGATCTCTGACTTGACCAGTTCTCTGTGCGCGGCTACATGTCCTGAAAACGCCCCCGTGTCGCCCGTTTGCATCAGATCGTTTACAGAAACCTAGGGGCTTGCGCTACTTGATTGGTGCAGCAATGAAGGCCTCGGATGTGCCAAGCTTGAAGGTGGCAGAGCTCAGGGAGGCGCTTAAGGAGCGTGGCCTCTCGACAACAGGGACGAAGGCCGTGCTTGCGGAACGTTTGCTGACAGCTCTAGCTGCGGTGAGTCGGGGAACGAGCGCCAAACGTCCACGCCGCAGTCCTTCCTGCCGCCGCGGGCGTCCTGGGAAATTCTGCCGGCAGTCGCTCAAACCAGGAACCCTAACAAGCGTTAAGTGTCACGGCGCTGTCTGCAGGAGGAGAAGGACGGCAAGGGTGCTTCGGACTCCCCTTCTGGCAAGGGCGACTCCTCTTCCGAAGACGCCGCCGACGCTCCTGAGCCCAAGGGCACAACACAGGTCGAAGCGCAAACCCAGCCCACCCCATCCAAAACTGCCGACAAAGCCGCGCCAGCAGCCAGAGCAACAGCGAAACCCGCACCGTCCGATGAGCCTAAGGCGCCAGAGGAAGACAAGCAAGGCGCAGCGTCTGTTAACCCCGGGGCGGACTCTGAACCCCCCTTAGCAGCAGAAGCACCGGCAGCATCGGTAGGAGCAGCAGAGAACTCAGCCCGCTCACCTGCAAAGTCTAACGACCCGGAAGACGAACAGCCTAGGGGTAAGAAAGGCAGGTCAGCGAGCGAGCGAACGCCCGGCAGGCCGACCAGAAGAGGCAGGGCGTCTTCTGCCGCTGCCACCTCGATCGTCACAGCGGCCGGCGACGGCGAAGACCAGCCCGAAGCTGCTAAGGCCAAAGAGGTTGTGGAAGACGTGAAGGTGGAGGATGCTGTGATGACGGAAGCGCAACCAGAGGCCGGGGGGGGCCCTGAAGCGGAGCACGAGGAACAGGTGCGTGTGTCTTCCTGTCGCTGCCTCTCTGCCTAGTATAGAGAGAGGAGGGAGGAACAAAAGCCGGACAAGCAAGAGGAAAGGGCGGGGGAGGTCTTTTATGGAAAGGAATGCGGAGTGAGGTCTTAGGGGGGTTGTTTATGCGCAAGGTTGCTCAAGGTCGCTCAATGGTGGGATTTATTACAAGGCGCATCAACCTTTTAAGTAAACTTCTCCCTCTAGCTCGCCGGCAAGGAGAAAGATAATTGTTACGGAGCTGCTGCTCCGCGTCCCTATCGGCATCTGCGGTCTTATCGACGTTCATACCTTCCATCCCTACAAACCGGCGAAAGCCCAAAAAACTCCCCTCAATGCAAAAACCTCCTCCGACTGCGGGCTCGATTAGGTGGATTACGGCACGGATGAGATTACAGCACCGGACGAGTCGGTCGAGGACGGAGGGCCTCTTCCTCCGCGGACGGAGAAGATGGGGCTGGGGGAAAAGGAGGGAGGTCAGTCGCAGGCCGATAATTCCGTAGACGAGCAGCAGCAGCAGCAGCAGCAGCACCCGCCGAAGTCACAAGGGCGAAGGACAGGGCAGGCGGACGAGGATACAGCCATGGCGGACGCTGCCGCCGGCGATGCCGCCGGCGCTGGCAAAGAGGCAGATGCGGACGGTGTCACTGATGGACAGGGCGCTCCCGCCGATGGCGGGGGCGAGGCGGCGGCGCCGGGGACGGCTGTGGGGGCGGCGGCGCCCCTCACGACGCCCCCGGCATCGGCGGGCAAAGAGGATGTCAAGGAGTCTGCGGCGACGGGGGGCAGTGTGCGACAGGACGCCGGTACGCAGCAGCCTAGTGCAGCGGTGGTAACCACCAAGCCGCCGGCGAGGCCGGACCCAACGCCGCCGCCAGCCGCCGGCAGCGGCAGAAAGCGGCAGCCGATAGAGTTTAAGATGGATGAGGTCGAACAGCGAGTGGCAGCGAAGCGTGCAGCCAGGGAGGCGACGGCAGGGGAGGGCGTGGGGGCGGCATCGCCGGCCGAGGAGAAGATCACGCCCGCATCAGGGCCTGCGGTAACGGCTGCGCCAGCAGGCAAGGCGCAGTCTTCAGCGGCAGCAGCAGCAACACCACCGGAAGCAACCACGAAGGTGCAGGCGCAGGCTGTCACGGAGAAGGACGTCCCGGCAGCGGCGCCGCCGGTGCCGGAGGCGCCGGAGGTTCCTGCGGTGGCGGCGGCTGCGGCGGCAGCTACCGAGCGGGCTGCCAAGCTTCAGAAGTTGGACGCGGCAGGGCGCAAGGCGGCTGGGCTGGTGGGTGCTGCAAGACCAGCGGGAGGAGCACCTGCGGGGCCAAAGGGTGGTGGTGGTGGTGCGGCGGCGGCGACGGTGGCGGCCAAGAGGCTGTCTGCGCCGCCGCCGCTGGAGGGCCCAGCTACGAGGGCGCTGCGCATCGACGGCTTTGTGCGGCCGTTCACTGAAAACCAGGTAAGCAGTAGGAAAGGAAAGCGAGGGAGAGACTGCGCAAGAAAACGCGCGTTGCGTTTGTGTGCATGTCTGTGTATGCGAGTGGATGTGTGGATGTTTTTGTTCGCGCTTCGCACGTGTCTTGACTGCTTGTGTGTACGTCGGGTTGGTTGCTGTTGAGGAGTGTTCGGAAAGGAAAGGGAAGCCGCTGCGCCAGCTTCTAATTAGTAGTGTTTCAGGTGATGGTGGTGGCGACGAAGGTGATGATGGCGATGGTGGTGGTGGGTTATATCGATCTTGGGCAGGCGGAGGCGAAGTGGTGGGCCAGGGTCCGCGACGGGGTCGCCCCTTAAGGTCCAAATTTGCCACTTTGCCCCGCGAGTACTTTCCCCCGCGAATACACAGACACCCGGCGAACGCACAGGTTCCTGCGCGTGGCTGAGATCACGCGAGTACACAGCCGCCGACAGCTTTCCCCTCTCCTTTCTTCATAACTTACTGCCCTGCTGCTGGCTTTCACCACTTCCGCCTGGTGGGCTGGTGGGAAAAACCAACTGTGCCTGTGTTGTCGCACTGTACGGCATGTACCGCAGGTACGGCAATTTATGTCGCAACATGGCACTGTCGAGGATCTCTGGATGCCCACCATTAAGAACTACTGTTACGTGGTCTTTGCGGAGGTGACGCATGGAGAGGCAGCGGCGGCCGCCACCAACGGCGTCGTGTGGCCTTCTGGCAATCCCACCAGCATACTGAAGCCCAGCTACGTGTCCCCAGAAGATGCCGCAACGGCCATCGCTAACGGGCGCGCGGGCCTGATGGATCCGCCCAAAGGAGGCGGCGCCGTCGGGGGCCCCCTGAAGTCCCCCGGAACGGCGGCGGCAGCCGCTGGCGGCGGCGGCAGTGGCAGTACACTGGCATCGCCAAAGGGGGGCCCGGCACCAGCACCGCTGGCGGTGGTCGGTGCGGCTGGAGTACGTCGCGACACGCTGACGGCGGCGGTAGCGGCGGCCGCGGCCGATGCAGCGGCAGCGAAACAGAAGACGCCGGCGGCGGCAGTGGCCGCTGGTGCGAATACCGCCGCTGGTCGGAAGCGATCCGAACCGGAGGGGGAGTTGCCGCCAGCGGCCGCTGACGCCAGCACAGGCGACGCAGGGGACAACGCGGCAGCGGCGCAGCCGGCGGCGGTCGCCGAGGTCGTCGCTGCTCCGGAGCCGCCGGCGCTTTCATTGGACGACTTGTTCAAGAAGACCAAGTCCAAGCCGATCATCTATTGGCTCCCGCTTTCGGAGGAAGTGGCGGCGGCGGCGCGGAAGAAGCGGAAGGAGGAGGAGGCCGCGGCGCGCAAGGCCGAGGAGGAGGAGGCCGCGGCTGATCAGGAGCGAGAGCGGGCGCGCCACCAGCAGCCGGATCGTGACCGTGAGAGGGACAGGGCGGGGGATCGCGGCGGGTGGGGAGCCCTGCCACCGCCGCCACCGCTGCCGGGACCGCCGCCGGCACGGGACGGCCGTGGGGGGTACGACAGGGACCGGCAGGGGTACGGCAGGGATCGCAGGTAATAGGGTGCAGAGGGCTGGGGACCCGGCTGGCTAGCTGGCTGGAAACGGTGCTGATAGGAGCGGGCGGGATGGGATGGATTAGGCCTTCCAATTTGTTGTAGGATCATTTATATGCTGTTTAGGTTAGTATGCTGGGCCTCAAGCATGCGCCGGGTGGGTTTGGGATACTACGGGGTTTCGGAGCTCATTCAGTCCCTTTCTATGGCGGGCCGGGCCGGGCTAGGGGACGGGGTTTTAGGGGGAAGAGCTGGTAGCGGTTAAGTTAGCTCCTAAAAAGGCAATGGGGCTAACTTAGGGCTCATAGGAGCGCGCATGCGTTCCGTTGTTTTCTCATCTCCCTTTGCTGTTGCATATATATGCGCGTGATGGTCTTCTGTCTTCTGTCTGTCCGTCTGTCTGTCCATCTGTCTGTCTGTCTGCTTGCCTACGCGCGTCTGTTTGTGTGCGTGTGTGGGCGTTCGTCTATTTGTCTGATGTGTCTTCCTGCGCCTGCCTCTCGTGTCAGTTTCGTCGGTGCCCGTGTGTGGTCTGTGTGGTTGTCCGTCTGATCTCCCCCGCTGGTTGTCTGGTTCCCGTGCCATCATCGTTTCGCGTGTTTCGGTTCATCAACCCGGGGTGTATGTTACTTAGCCTGCTTGGCTACCGCCCGCGGATTTCGCGCTCTAATTGTGCCGGTGCCGGTTTGCTCGGTGCGCTTTGAAGAATGGACACCAACTCTTTCCATTCGAACGATTAATAGTCGAGGGGACGGCGAGGACAGTTGCAGTAGTAGCATCGCGTGCCCCCGGGGTTAAGGCCCACGGCAAAAGGAAGGGGGCGTCTGGGCGGAGGTGGAGTCGGAGGCGGGCCAGCGAAGATGGTGATGTCCCAAACTCGCCCAGTTCTTTTGCGTTGCGCCGCTCTGGTGTCTGCGGGCATCACGGGGCTTCTATGAGAGGACTACGGAGTCAAGGCGCTCCGTTCCCCCCCTTCTTTCTTTTCTGGCGCATGCGTGAGTTATGTCATGTGGAGAGTGCACCAAGGTGCGCCTAATTTACCCTTTTGCTTTGCTTTGGACGATCGATTTACCTTCGACAACACTCCTGGTCACAAGCTTTGTTGTGTTGATGATCGAGCCGGTTTTGAAGTGGCCGGGTCGTCTCTCTCCGTGTGCCTTGGTGCTTTGCCAGTTGCGTTGGAACGGTTGGTTCCGTTGGGGGCTGGCTTCTCCTCGCCCGCTTCTCCTCGTCTGCCGTGGCGTCATCCCCCGGCCTCCGTGCGTCGAGTTAGCCCTGCTTGTGTGTCGTGTTGCTCGCGCGCGGGGGGTCCAACGAATTTATACGGTTGTAACAACAGCAAAGGGGGGGAAGGGGTAAGACCACCGGGGCCCATCGGATCCGAGATGTCCGCTGGACCACGAGTATGCAAGGATCCAGAGGGATTGGAGGTTGAGCGCGCCGAGGGTGGAGAATTGCGCAAAGAATTTTGTAGTTGCCACAGCGACGTCGTCCAAGTTATTCGGTACGTGCTTGACAACCCATTCCTGGAAGTCGTAGGCGAATGTTTCCCCAAGCTTCCATTCTTATATGGCTGCGGTGGTTCAACCCGGAATGTGAAGTGTGCTTCGGTGCGCGGCATTCTTGCAGTTTCGGTACTCAGCATGGGCCATGCGCATCACTGCTCGATAAGGAACCTCGCCTTATATATATCACGCTCGATTTCGGCTTGGAGTACTTGAAGTTTCAAAGGCAGTAATTCGCGCTCGGTGTTTGGGGAGCCGTCAACTTCTCTTGCCGATTCGATTCTAAAACTCACTGGGTTCGGTGGTCGCAGCACGTGCAGTTGAACTTGTCATGTTCAGAGCACATTACAGTTTGTGTGTATATGTGTGTATGTGAACTGAAAGAAACCGTCGCACCAAACGGCAAGAATTCCCCTGAGAGTGAGAAGGTACACCGGTTATAAATGGGTGTCCCTTCTGGGTATCGCTCCTGGTGGCAGAACTCCTAGGGATTTTCATGTTCGCAAGTAGACTGAGGGAGAAAACCGTTACGCATGGCAAATCCAAGCAGGGCTCCTACTAAGCGGAACCGTCTCAGCTTGGGAGATCAGCACCATTCCGCTGTCCAGAACAACTCAAGCAGCAAAATCAACCACTTTGGACAGCGGCATCGCTGGTGCAGCTGCTACAGCTGCGCAACGAAAAACAGTAGCGTTCGCAGCGGCACAGCCGTCCAGATCTGTGAATCAACAAGATATGAGCAGCAACAGCAGTAGCCCCGTCCAGCCGAATGGGACAGCAGCAATATGGCGGAGCGGCAGCAGCGACAGCCGCTGCTCAAACTCGTCAAATGCCAAGCAGCTCAAACACCTTGAGCACGACCCCCATGTCGTGGCCTCGGTACTGCAGCCATGACGACAGCCGACGTCTGCAGGGCAGAGGCAAGAAACAGGGCGGGGCCAGGTGTGCGGACAAACGGACTTACAAGCTTACAAGCCAGCTATGTGCCAAACAACGCTTCAAAAGGACACATCTGGTGACCAAACTCCTTGACTTGGGTTGAGGACAGCAGAAAGGTATAGCACAACAGTTTTTTCGTGGAACGGCTTTGGAATGGACGCACTCACTCATTAACTCACTCACTCACCGTTGCATGTTCTGCTCCTTGACCCTCGCCTTCCACTCATCCGCACTTCGGTCAGCCTGACGACCACCCGCACGGCCGCTTGGAGCCAACCACTTGGCGCCGCTACTCCTGCTACTGCTACTGTCAGCACCACTACTACTGCCGCTCCTGCTGCTGTTGTTACTAGCATTGCTACCATCATTCCTAGTACCCCTACTCGTAACACTGAAGTCGGCATCATTGTCGTTGCTGAAATGGTGGTTTTGGCTAACGAAGTCGACGTTGCTCCCCACGTCGTCCGCGGCAGAGGCAGAGGCAGAAGATGAGGTCGTGCGGGAGCTGGAAGTGCCAAAGGCGGCGGCAACTGTCTCTATGGTGGTGGAGGAAGAGGAAGCGGAAGCTGCGGCGGTCGCGGCCGTCGCGTAGGAACGGTCACCATAGAACGATTCTTCCATAGCAGCGGTGCCCTGGTACTGATACTGGTACTGATACTGGTGCTGGTGCTGTTGCGGCGGCGGTAGTTCCTCGTCGTCGTGGTGATGGTTGCGATGGCTGGTCTGGGGTTTGTGTTGAAGGCCCACATGCCGCCTGGCGGCCTCAAGAAGCGCCTCCCGCACCTCTTCACGGTGGTGGTGGTGGTGGGGTGGTGGTGGTGGTGGTGGTGGTGGTGACGGCGACGGTGATGGGTTGTTAAAAAAGTGAATGGCAGCGAAATGGCAGCAGCAAGAGATAGCGGCGTCGGCGGCGCTTCTAAAATGGACCGACCGGCGCGAGAGCAAGTACGAAAATTTCGTCAGGAGTACGGCACTTCCGTACGCGTCTCGGAAAGAATTCTCCCCAAGTCGCCCGACCCAACAACCTCCCACATCCCAACCCCGAACCCTATCCTCACGCACCCACCAAGCTCCTCCGGACTGGTGGTGGGTCCAGACAGGCGAATACGGCGCGTCGGACCAAACACGTGTACCAGAGCAGCCGCCACGTCAGCATCTCCAACGCCCAGTGCCGTAAGCTCCTGGTGAGGGGAGGTGAGGTGGGGCGGCGTGGTGGGGGGAGTGAGGGTTGAAAGTAATCGATCCAAAAGTCAAACTGCCCGACCCTCCCAAATTATTAATAAAGAATAATATTGATTGTATAATGAATATAACAATATTTATTATTATATGACGATATGATGGTGATTAAGATGAGTGCGATAATAGCCATGTTAATAATGTATGATGCAGAGAAACATATTGAAACACTGTGTTGCCACGTCCGCATCACCAACAGCTGTCGCAGGAAGAAGGTGCCTGTGGGGTGGGGTGGGTGGACTCTACCTGGGGGGGTGGGGGGGCCCAACTGGGGCTGTGAGGCGAGGCGGGGGGATGTGGGTGGTGCACAACCAACCACCCCCACATCTTCCGCGTACAGACGGCAAGCAATACATAGCATTCAAGGAAGTACACATACATACATACATACATACATACATACATACACGCACCTGCTTTATCTTGGCGGGTGCCGTCCGATTTGCGTTCCACTTGGACGCCGCGTACATCCGGGCGTAGAGGCGGTCGTTGAGCGCCCCCGCCGCCCCCAGCCAGGCCACCAGGGGCGGCAGCAGGTGACCCGGGAGGCCCCGGGCCAACAGCCGCCGGGTCAGTGTGGCGGCGGAGAGAGGGGAGCGCTGGAGCAGAGAGAGAGCGTAGCGCTTGGCCTGGAGGTGGTTGGTGGTTGGTGGGAAGAGGCGGACATGCGAGTTGTGGAGAACTGGGTAGTGGGGGGTGTTGGGGTAAGACGAACCACTGACGATTGAAGCAGATACCAGAGATAGACGGGTAGAGGAGGGGGTTGAGGAGGAGGGGGGAAAAGGGAGGAGCAGGTAGGCAGTGAGTTTGGTGTCGTGACAGACTAGAGTGTGTATGTATGTACGTATGTATGTATGTAAATATGTTACGGGGGCCATAGAATTACACGGCAAAGGGGATGGGAAAGCGCCATGGGGTACGACGCACGATACGGCATAACGTTACGGTACGACGAAGTCACCTTTTGGTACGCTTGGTCTTCTTCCAAGTCCGAATCAACGACGTTGCCAGTTTCACTGCCAAGACCGTCTGCTACAGCCGGTAGAGCTGATTCGTGGTCTGGCGGCGGGACGGGCCCCAGGTCAGTGACAGGCGCGTGGGGGGGTGGGGTAGCGCCGAAGAAGCGCCGCGGCGGCGGCAGTGGCGGACGAGGTGGCGACGATATTCCCGCAGCTTCGCCGCCGCCGCCGCCACCTGGCCCTGTATCGGTTGCTGCTGCTGGCGGCGCCGCTGCCGGCCTTGTCGCCCTTGGCGGTGGCGCCGCTGCCGCAGTCTTTCCCCCCGCCGCCACCTGGCGATCCTGAGGGGCGGTGGCGGGAAGGGGGAGAGCGGGTGTGGCAGGAGGTGGAGGGAGTGAGGGAACACCAACACCCCCGTCCACATCACTACCGTACACCGTACTGGGGTACAGCACCGGAAAGAAGAGTATACACCCATTCGTGTCATGGGAGACAATAATCTTTTACAACATTATGGTTTATAAAACATAATAAAAATCCCGCGAAAACCATTTGAAAACCGAACCCGAACAAATTTCCTGAATGGCTGTTGACAACTGAATTAGCCCATTAAAACCATTCCGCAAAAGATTTTCTTGTTCTTGTAGCATTCGCAGCGAGTGAATGACCGGTGGTGCGTTCAGCGTGTTTTTTTACAGCTGAATTTGTCGTACGAGCTGAATAGACTATTTTTATACTCTTGGATTAGAGGATCGACATTCACCCACGTTTGTACAAACGGAATGTGAGCACAGTAATAGGAAAACCCGAGAGGGGAACCGGTCCGACGCGTTTTGGCTTGTAGCTGTATACATTGTTATCACGTTGACTAGGTGTTCTTCTGGGCACAACATTGGGTGGTCGTTCCAAAACACCTCCACGCAGCATCAAGTTGCTGTTGCGAGTTATAAAAATAATAATAACAACTGAATCGTAATACTCGTCATGCAGTACGGACATGTCGTACTGACTGCCGCCGTCCGCTGCAGCAACTCACCATGGGTTCACCGACTTCATCGCCGACCTCATCACCGTCCGGGCTGGCTGGGTACCCGACCCCGCCACAGACCGGGTTTTGACACACGCGTCGGCACTCCCCATCCCCTCCTCCTCCTCCTCCTCCAGCTTCATTCCTTCCTGGTTCGTCTTTCCCTCCTCTTCCGCTTCCTCTTCCTCTTCCAGGGCCCCCCCTCTCCTTTGATACTCTCTTGCCCTGGCAGCAGCTTCAATCGTGTGTGGTTCGTCTTTCCCCCCCTCTCCTCTTCCAGAGACGCAAGCAAGCTACTCAGCCCCCCCCCCACAGGCACCCCCGTGTTGCGGTGGGGTGGGGTGGTGTGCAACGGTTTGTCACACGGCACGCGCTTCATCCCGTCCCCCCTAAAACGAACGGTACGGCAGAGCAACTACGTAACGGAGAAACTCCGAAGCTGGAAGAATGATGGTAGTATATTGGCAAACGACACCAAGAAACGAAAGCGAAAGCGAAAAAGGAAAAAAAAATAAACAGCCCTCTGGCGTTGTCTTAACCCCAATCCTGCACATCGCCCTGCAGGCGACCGCGGCCCCCTCCAATCTTTCCCCTTACCCCCTTAACCCCCCTAAGACGTCTTGGACACCACCGGCAGCAGTTCACTCGGTCCATTTTCTCGCACACGGTTTCCCCCTTCCCCCCTTCCCCCCTCCCCGCCTCCTTTTGGTCAGTTCTACTCCTGGTACACTCTTGCCCTGGCAGCAGCTTCACTCGTTCACGTGGTTCGTCTTCCCCCCCCCCTTTCCACCTCCCTCCACCTCCCTCCACCTCCCCAATTCGGCTCCTGGGGTCCTAACCTGTAGGACACCCACCTGTAACATTCGCTGAAGCTCCGCTACATTGCGAAATGCGACAGGTGGATGACGTGGTTCCGGTGGTGCTGGATTCCTTGAGTCCGGATCCAGAACCGGATCCAGAATCTGACACCTCGATGCAGGATCCTGCAAGTCTTGTTGTAAAGGAGCTGGTGCTGGCGCTGTTGGTGCTGGTAATGTCGCCACACTGCTGAAAGTGGCTGAGCCAGGCGAATATGTGGAAGGTGCTGCTGGTGCTGCTCTGTGGGATGATGGAACAGGCGAGGTTGTCTTCGCGCTGGCAACTGCGGTCCGATGCTGCTGGTGCTGCTGCTGGCGGGATGCCTGTAATTTGGACAGCGCGGCGAGGCTCATGGGGACGTTATCGTCAATAAATTCTGCTTCGTTGTTGCTGTCATCGAGGTTGCTATTGTTCCTGCTGCGGTCGTTTTCACTGTCGGGTGATGGTCGTCGCATCCGTCGCGGAAGCCGCCGCTGATGCTGAATCCCCCTAGGTGGGAATGCGAAAGAGACATTCCGCTGTCTGGCGTTGTTTCTCTGACATGCAGGACGACAGGTGTCTGTCGCTGGAACAGATAGCAGGGCTAATGGCGCTGTGATCTTTGCTGGCACTGTTGGTGGTGCTCCAGCAGCTCGAAGCAGAGGCTTCATGGAAACCCTTAGGTAGTCCTAGCCACACCTACTTAGGCAAATGTTCCGATAACTTTCAAACACCCTGCGACGGAGGCTTTCCGGTCGAGACTTTGTTCCGTCAGCTGGAAGACAACCCCCCAGCTGCTCTAATTGAAAACGACACAGGTGTCCTACGAAATGGCTGTGCAAAAGTCGATGATACCAACCATTACCCCTTTCGAAAGTGCGTGTTATGCATGCTGCGGAGCATCGTAGCAGTACTGTAAAACTGCGGTATAATCCGTAGTAGTACTGTAAAACAGCGGTTGCCTATTACAGAGATGAGTAGGTTAGCTGTAGATACACCTGTGAGCCCGTAAATCTGCACTTAGCTATCGCGGAGCAACATCCTGGGCACACACTAGCTCGTTACCCTTTGATCCAAAGGAAATTTGAAGGTTAAATAGGTTCACTTAAGCAAAATAGAGCTATGGCATCAGGTGCACGGGGAATCGGAGGCCTAGGCCTCAAGGTTACAGGCGCTCTGAGTGGCACCGTCTTTGTAGAGTCCCTAGACTGTACCGTCGGATCGCTTCGCACAGAAATATCACGTCTTATGGGTAAGGCACTTGGAGGTCACCCATGGGCATAGAGAAGAGGACAGACACATGTAGGGCTGCATGGGGCATGGATCTACTTTCTACACTTTCGCGCACCGTCTTTCCAGGTGGAGACGCTGTTGTGAAGATGATTGTGGGCGGCAGGACCCTACAGGTGCGAAGTTTATTTCGTCAGACTTTCACCAGCTGCTGTTGCAAGTGCAAGGCCACATGCCTTCCAGAAGGATGTGCGCGCGAACCAACCCTGCCACACCAATCACACGAATTCGTTGAGGGCCTCCAGGGGGGCCCCGCGTGAGCCCTCTCCAATTTCTCCCACCTTCCGCCCACTTTCACTCCCCTCACACATAGTCATACACACACACACGGAAAGCACACCTCGGGCTACCAAACACATCCACCCACATGGCGGGAGGGGGAAAGGGGGGGGACTGGGGACTTCGTTTCCGAAGCAAGGGGATATCACCTGAGGCACATTCGCTCTCCTCCTTCCCGGGGAAGGATGGACCAGTGGTACCTTCCCCCGGTGTTTTGGAAAGTCCCGGTCGCCGGGTGCCGTACGGTCAAACTTACTTTGACCATGATCCATTGGGATGATCCAGGCCGCACGCGTGCGGCTTCCAAAGGAAATACACATGCAGGGTCCGGGCTATCTAAGTACTTATCTAGGTAGGTAGGTAGATGGATAGGTATGTATGTATGTATGTATGTATGTTGTTACAGGGTGGTTAACTTCGCCAGCGGCCCCCTTTCCCGAGGCAGTTCCCTGCTCTCCCCTGCTAGAGGGGCACCCTAATCCGTTCACCCCATCCGTATGTATGTATGAGGAAGGAGGTCCCGCGGCCGTCTAGCTTCCATTCGCCCAGATCTCCCCCGACCGATTTCCCTGCGCACCGCCAGCTGTGCCGCCACCGCACCGCACCCCACCAGTGCCCGTACGACATATGAGGACTTGGCACATCATGCTCCTGGGCCCGGCCACTCACATCCCCCCCCCCCCACACACAACATTTCGCAAAACACCGCCGTACTGCCAACAACGACATACCTACCTCATCCCCTCCATGCCCCCTTCCTAATCCCCGCTCAAACCCATAGTTCAACCCTAAAGCTGAAATTCGCAACAGTCTCTGCCGTACATTGGCCTGTACGAATAACGGAATTCATGAATCCTGGAGTTTATTCCACGCCGAACAATTTCCACTGGAGCCATTGTTGAGTTTGAGTTAACGCCGTTCTCTTTACAACGGCTTTTAAGTAAGAGGACAAAAAGCATATACAACCCGCGCTACACTCATGCAACCCGCGCTTTTTTTGTCGTACCCGTCAGGACGACAGCCGTACACTCCACGAAGCTGGCGTTACCGCTACCTCCCGCATCTTGGTGACTCGCGGCAGCAGTGCCTCCTCCGACGACGGGGGTGTCGCCGCCGTCAACACCGGAGCCGACCGCGCGCGGCGACTGGAGTGGGTTCGGAAGGCTGCCGAGGCCCTGGCTGCCAGGTGGGCTGGGGGTGGTGGGGGTGGTATTGGTGGTGGTGGTGGACTTTGTTCGATGATGAAAAAAGAGGAAGGGGGGTGAAATGCAGCCCGAGGGAAACCACCCGCCACGCACCCCTTTGCTAGCCAGGCTTGACCTTAGGGTTTTAGGGTTTTAGGGTTTTTTACGACTCCTATAGCAAACGTACATCCTTTCAGTGTTTAATTTCCTCCCGTACATGTACGGTATATAGATACAGCGCTCGTCCGCACTGCGCTGCTTTTCAAGGGTACTACAATCTTCTTACGAGACCAGACACGACGATTAAAACCCCAAGAAGAAGAAATGCCCGTAATGGCCTTGATGGGCCTTACCAACTTGATGCGGAGAATGTATAGATCTTTTGCTCTTCCTTGTGGTTCTTCCCTAGCCGAGGAATGTAAATTGAAATAGAGGAATCGTCAAAAGATGAAAAATACTAAAACTTTTCATCATCATTAAAAATTGTAGAGAGAGGGGCCACGCCCGGCGCCACGGGTCGATCAGACTTGATCGCTGAGGACGTCAGTCACTGGGGGGGCAGTTTCTTCGGACCTCGGACGCAATCCGGCAGGCAGACAGACAGACAGACAGACAGACAGACAGGCAGACAGACAGGCAGGCAGGCAGACAGACAGGCAGGCAGCTCATTTCTGAGTTGCTCTTGCACTTGTGTGATCTCCCCCCTCCTTGTTTGTTGCATGTGTGTTGAGTGTGACTCCTCTCCTGTCGAAGTCCTGTCGCGTTGCGGAGACAAACACACACACACAAACACACACACGTTCCCCCCACCCCCCACCCCCCTCAGGGACTCCCGGGGACTCAGTGACGACTACGCACTGGACGTTGAGAACCAGGTGGGGGGGGAGGTGGGGGGTGGGGGAGGGGGGGGAGGTGTGTGGAGGTGTGTGGAGGGGGGGGGATGACAGAGGGAGGGAGGGAGGGGGTATGTTAGGAAGTAAAGAACAAAAAGACAACGACAAACGTTCCCCCGGAGGCGATTGATCCCCTTGCTTCGTCCGGTTTGCACACCTACCTACCCACCTACCTACCTACCTACCTACAAACTACCTACCTACCTACTTACGAACTACCTACCTACCTACCTACCTACGAACTTCCTTCCGTACAATTATATGTACTGCAAGCTTCCAGGCTTATGACTGCGGCCGCAAACCACGTCCTGGTAGCGAGATCCTCCGTAGCCATCGCCCCACCGGCACTGTAAATAATTTCATACATGCAGCACAGAGTTCAATTTTCACCAGATGCCAAACAAGGTCCAATTGTCATCGTCATCATCATCATCATCATCATCGTCATCTTCGGATTCCCTCCCTCCTCCCCCCCCGGCCCCCCCCCAGTCGGGCTCCTCTGTTGCCGTACGGCCCGAGGACCGCCGTAATCTGGTGCTGGGGCTGGTACTGCATGACAAGGCCAAGGCGACTTTGAAGAGGGTGGGAACCGAGTTGAAACGAGCCCTTCCCCCCTCCCCCTCCACCCCTCTTACATCCCCCCAAACCCCCCAAACCCCCCATATTCCTCCACCACCACCTCCACCTCCACCACCTCCACCACCACCACCACCTCCACCACCACCACCTCCACTTCGTACAACCCTATCTCTATCCACCCTCACCCAACCGCCACATGCACACTCTCCGCCAAAACCCACTCTCCACACGACCGCGTTTTGAAGTCATCATCTGGTGGCAGTGCTTTTCTTGGATTCTTCTTGACTTTTTTACAAATTGTAATTATTTCACCCCCCCCCTTCACTCGCTCGTGGTTCGTCTTTTCGTCAGTTCTACTTCTTGTACACTCTTTCCTTGGCATCAGCTTCACTCGTTCACGTGGTTCGTCTTTCCCCCACTTTCCCCCTGCCTGTATGTATGTGTATGTGTATGTGTATGTGTATGTGTATGTGTATGTGTATGTGTGTGTGTGTGTGTGCGCGTCAGGGCGATTACGCCACCGCACTGGAGGAGCTGCTGCTGGCCGAGGAGGCGCTAGCCCTGTGCGACCCCTCCCTCACCTCCGCCATCGATAACCTGCCACTGCTGCTCATAGACCTAGTCTGGGCGGCGTACAAGCTGAGGGACGTACGGCGGTTGGCGGTTAGCAAAGAGCGGTTGGCGAAGGCGCGGGCGGGGCTGGCAAGAGCACACGGTCCGCGACTTGAGCGGCTCCGAAACCTGACTGGCGCGGCATTTAGTCCGGAGCTGGCAACGTGGGTGATAAGCATCGGTTGGGGTGGTTAATGGGAGTTGGTTGGGTAGCGGTTGGTGGGTGATGCATTGGGCAGGTGGAGTGTGTATGGAGGGGAGTGGAGTCCGGGTGTAACGACGCAAGGCCCATCTGAGCATCCCGGGTTACGCCTTTGCTGTGTTACACCCACTGGGTATGAAAGAAGGGGGGGGGATGAACTTGCAAGGAAAGGAACAGAAAAAAATGAATTGTAAAAGCGGGGAGTTGGGGGTACATGGAATAGAGGACTAATTTCGTTTTCTTAAGTTGTTATGATTTGAAAAGGGGGCATGTGTATGTATGTATGTATGTGTGTATGCATGTGTGTATGCATGTGTGTATGCATGTGTGTATGTATGTATGTATGTATGTATGTGTGTATGTATGTGTGTATGTATGTATGTATGTATGTATGTATGTATGTATGTATGTATGTATGTATGTATGTGTGTATGTATGTGTGTATGTATGTGTGTATGTATGTATGTATGTATGTATGTATGTATGTGTGTTTATGTATGTATGTGTGTATGTGTGTATGTATGTATGTATGTGGTAGTGATTTGAGGTGCGGTGAAGGTAACGGCGTACGACGAGGGCCACGTGGGGGCCCCTTTCCCCCCTTCCCTTGGCAGCAGCTTCACTCGTTCGTGGTTTTCGTCTTTCCCCCTTCTTGCTAGCGTCAATCCCAGTTGTTCGTCTCTCCCCCTCTCTTCCCGCCCCCCAAACCCCATACACCTGGTTCATTCTTCTGTCTCTCTGGTCAGTGAAGTTTTCCTGATGCAGCATTTGTCCCCCCCTGGACTACCCGTCTATCTTTGGTATCTGCTTCATTCGCCAGTGGTTTGTCTTACCCCCCCCTCCCCCTCTCCCCCCCATTTTCCCCCGTTTTCCCCCCATTGGTCCATACACAGCTATCTCCGTCTGGAGGTGCTCGAGGGCCTTGTGGGGTACTACAGCGGAGAAAGCCGTACGGCAGTGGAGGGCAGCTTCAGAGCGGCTCAGGCCAAGTGGCGCAGGTTGCAGGTGTGTATGTATGTGTGTGTATGTATGTATGTATGTGTGTATGTGTATGTGTATGCGGGATGGCTGCGGGTAGGGCGGGAAGGGGTGAAGGGGGCCGAAGGAGGGGCGGGTAGTTGGGGGCAAACGGTGTAGTGCGGCCTTGTCTTATACAGCAAGAAGAGAAAGGGAGCGGCCCCCAAACCCCGAGGAATCTTCAGTGCCTTGTCGTACCCCCCGTACACCCCTGGGAACGGCGTCCCACTCCTCCCCCACACGCCTCTCCCACGTCGCGTTGTACCGCCTCTTTGCGTCCTCCGGCGCTCCCGGCGCTCCCGGCGCTCCCTTTCATACACACCCCTCTTTCCCCCCTCTCACCTTCCCTTTCCGCCTTTCGTATTCCCCTCCCCACTCCTCTTTTTCCCCCGTTTTTTTTGTCGTACACTCGTCCAGGTTCGTTAATTGCTGTCCTTCACTCCTTCCATCCCTTTCCTCCCTCTCCCCCCTCCCTTCCCCCCCTCCCACCCACCCCCGCCACCACCACTGTCAACAGGTCTCTGACGAGGCTCTGGCGCTATTGCAGGTACGTGTACGTCTGTATGTAGGTGTGTGAACTTTGTGGAGGGTTTCGCCCCACCCCCCAGGTATCCCCAACCCCCCTACACCCACCACCACCACCATCCCCTCACACACTCGCTCCTTGCACAGACCCCTCTCCCCCCTCTCCCCTTTTTTCCCCCCCGCCCATACACAAAACGTGCACGTATACGCCGGCACGCAGGGCATGGGCTATGAGTTACAGGAGAGTCGTCGAGGTCTCCGTCTGAGTGGGGGCGACGTAACGGCTGCTGTGGACTTCATCCTGGAGCAGCGCAAAGCGGAGGCGGTGCGTATGTGTGTATGTGAGTGTGTGGGGGGAGAGATGGGAACGGTGGCTGTCCATGATTTGTCTTAACCTCCAACCTCCTGTCTTCTTTCCTTCCCCCCCAGGAGCGCAACGCCCGCAGGAAGCGAGTATCCGACTGGAACCACGAACGTATCAAGTACGGCAAGACGCCGTCCGGGGAGTACGTGGATCCGGATCAGTTGGATCGGTTAACGGGTTTAGGGTACGAGCGGCGGTTGGCGGCGGAGGCGCTCCGGAAGAACGGCAACAAGGGGCAGGTGGGGCAGGACACACCCCCGGGGGTGTGTGTGAGGGGGGGGTTGAGGTGAAGGGCGGGACAGGGGTACGGCGAGGTGGAATCGGGGGGTTTGGGAGCTCTGTGTGAAGTGGGAGACGGGTGGGGGAAACGTAATGGAAGCTTTACTTGACGTGTGTGTGTATGTGTGTGTGTGTTGTTTTCTTACATCGCACCATATGGTTTGCCTGGCGGTTGGCATCAGCTGGGTTACGGAGAAGCGGCCGAACTCCTCCATCACCATCTGAAGCTACGGATTCCGGGTGTTTTATAGATTCCCTCTCTCCCTCCGCCTTCATTCCTTCCGCCAGATTGCCCGTCCTCCCTTCCTTCACCTTTTTCTCCATTTTCTTTCTCCTCCCCCTCCCCCTCCCCCTCCCCCTCCCCCCCGTCCGGTAGGAGGCCCTGGATGAGCTGAGTAGCCCCGAGCGAAGGAGAGCTCTGGAACTGGGGCTGGCGCTGAAGGAGGGTCTCGAGGTGTGTGTGTGGGGGGGGGGGAAAGAGAGGTGTGTGAGGGGGGAAGGGGATTGCCCTGATTTTACTTCCCGCTGTAACATCATGCTGTGGTGTCCATGGCGGCAGGCGACGGTGGGAGATGCGCGGAGGCTCTGCC